CCCCCGGCCCTGGCGCCACGACTTCTCACCTGCCTCAGCTCGTGGGTCCGGTCCCGCATGGCGGCTCGAGCGCCCGGGCCCCCGCGCCGGAGCCCCAAGGGCCTCAAGGATCCAAATTGGGAACTCCTTTCCCCACGCACACTCTGTCACTCCCTTCCCCCGCCCCCCCGGGGACCCCAACACCTCCCCGAGCCGCAAGGGGCTCCCTCCCCTGCTCGGCCCACAGCCAGTGGGGGACAGCCAGCCTTGGGTACCCCCAAGTTTCCACAGGTTGGAATTCCCTCTTCTGTCCCACCCCCCCCACCCCAGCTCCCGTCGCCTCCGCCCCGCCCCCTCTGGGAAGCCTGCGCGCATGCGGACTGGGACGCGCCTCTTCCGCGCCGGGAGGAAAGGGGGTCGGAAGTGGCGCTGCCCCGACCGGAAGTAAAACGGGCGGGCCGTGAGCGCCCGCCCCCTTCGCTTGAACCGGGCGCGTCGTCCAACGGAAACGCAGTTGCCAAAAGGGGTGGGAGTGCGTCAGCCGCACGTCATCTGCGAGGCCCCTCCGGCGCGCCACGTGACCGGCCCCTGCTCAGCCCCGGGGTCTGCAGAACTGGGTGTCTTCAGTGTCACGTGTCCCGGCTCTGTGGCCGCCGTTTCTGGGGCACCCTTCTGCCCACGACGTGTCCGCCCGCCCGCCCCCAGCGACTGAGCGACTCCGTATTCCCCTAGAGTTTGAGGACGCGGGGGGCCATGGCTACACCCCCTCCCCCCCGAAGGCTATGGGGGGCAGTGGGTGGTTGGACCCTGGCTGGCTTTCTTTTTCTTTCTTTGACGACTTGAATTCGGGGCTGGCCCTGTCTTGGGTCCCCGTGGAAGTGGGCGAATAATAAGATCGTGCGTTTTTGGGGTCCGGACTGCCGGGCGAGGTGGGCAGCGAATCCGGGGTGGGAAATGACCTCACCCGAACCAGCCTCTCCTCTCCCGCATGTTGCTGGCGCAGCCTCTGAGCACCGCAGTCCCGCTGCATTCAACACCTTCCAGGCAGCGAGGCCACTTCGGGCCAGCCCAGAGTCTGCTGCCCCGCCAGGCCAGTCGCACTGCTACCTCCACCTGGCCCGCCTCCAACCTCACAGGGGGCTGTCATCTGCTGAGGTCGGAGGCGTCCCTGTTTTGTTCTTAAGGGAAGCCCCGCAGCCCCGTGTAGTAGCTAGTGCATACTGGGCCCTCACAGTCTGCTATTGACAGAGTTTCAGCCTGGCACTTAGCTGAAGATTCAGCCCATCCTGCAGCAAATACTGGGCACCAGAAACTCTGGTGGCATAGGGGTGACCCATTAGGCTGCTAACTGCAAGGTTCAAAACCACCAGCAGCTCCGTGGGAGAAAGATGGGGCTTTCTACTCCAGTAAAGAGTGACAGTCGTGGAAATTCACAGGGGCAGTTCTACCCTGTCCCATAGGGTCACGGTGAGATGGCATCGACTGGGTGGCAGGGAGTTTGAGGTGTTCGTTTTGTTTTCGTGGCACCCAGTGCTCTGTGGTTGGACATACAGCAAGGACAAGACATTAGGCCGTAGAGGAGTAGCCACAGCCACCCAGTGATTCTCACATTGCCTGGGTCCCAGGGCTCTCTCCAGGGGGACTTATGTAAGGGTCAAGCAAGGGAAGGAATATCTCCTGGTCATATACCTATGGCATATACCTTGTCAGAAGTTCTTAGGTCCTCCTGTCACTTTGGGCTTCTGGAAAGTCTCTTCCTGCTTCTTGATCCTTGATCTTTGCACCTGTAAGTGGGCTGGCAAGAGAGACCGTAGGAATTCCCCGCTCCAAAGGCCTATGCTGGTGCTGGCAAAGCTCCTTGAAAGTTCCAAGAACGAGCAAACCTGTCTTGGAGGTACAGCTGAATGCTCCCGAGAGGTAAGGGTGGTGAGACGTCATCTCACGCACTTTGGACATGTCAGGAGAGACCAGTCACATACTGTGGACATGTGGTCAGGAGAAACCACTCCTGGAGAAGGACACCCTGGTTGGTAGGGTCGAGGGGCAGTGGCAGAATGAAAGATGGATTGCCATGGTGGCTGCAACAACAGGCTCAAACCTCAGACCAATGGTGAGGATGGCGCAGACCGGGTTTTGGTCTGTTGCGCATAGTAGGGCCAGTGTGAGTTGGAACAAACTCAACTTCACCTGACAACAACAATAACAGCAAAGTTCAGGGACTTTCAGCTTGGACACTGAAGGAGTATTGGGTTCTCTGCGACGGGACCTGAGCGGCAGTGGTTCTCCACCCTCCTCATGCGTGACCCTTTCATACGGTTCCTCATGTGGTGGTGATCCCACAACCATAAAACTATTTTCGTTGCTACTTCATCACTGTCATTTTGCTACCTTTATGAATCGGGCGGCCCCCTTGAAAGGGTCATTCAACTCCCAAAGGGGTCGCAACCCACAGGTTGAGAACCGCTGCTTTAAGGTGTGTGGGAGTGAGAGTGAGGAAAGGCCTGCTCTGATCAACATGGGGGGGTGGGGGGGAAGAAAGTGTTGGAGGGAGTTGTAGGCGGCCCAGCTCTGCTACTTGGGATAACCTGGAGGTCATGAGGTTACCTCCTACTTCTGGTCCCCACCACCCTTGGGTCTTTCTCACTCTCTATCTGACTGGTAGACCCCTGACTCGCAGTCCTTCCTGTGATCTTGAATAATTCATTGTTCCTCTCTGGGACTCAATCCTCCCATCTGATGACTTGATATAGGACTTTCTGCCTTGCCTAAGAGGAGATTTGGACAACATCAACTGAGGGCAGGAAGGATGTGCAAGGAGTTTATAAACGCTGGAGGACGTGGCCCTCTGCAGCCTTCTGCCACTGTGAGTTGCAGGTCTGTCTGGTCCACCAGCCCCAGCCGCCTCTCTTTGTTTCTTAGTCACCCGATGACTTGTCTCCTCGGTTCCCGGAAGCAATCTTGAGTTATGAGTGTATTGCTTCGACTTCCTCAGATGACATTGACGTTTTACTTTCTGGTCTCTAGATGGATTTTGCGATAGTGACATAAAGTCACATGTGAAGAGGGTTGGGCAGCAAGGGCCCTCTGGACATAGAATTCTCCAGAGCTGAGCCCTGTTCAAGATTTTCATGGCTCTCAGTTACTTCTCCCCGATTCTGGGGGTAGCCTTGAAGCTGGATCTGTGTTGAGTATGTTGGGTCTTGGGTATATCCATAGTTATTGAGGGTGTATACACATTCCTTTTAGCCTGTATGACAGGCAGGTTCTGCTTGGTCCTAAGACAGGCCATCCTGCCCTGTCCCTCCACCTATAGGTTCAGTCCGGTGAACATCAGAACCAAGTGGCCTGAGTTTTACCCCAACTCTACCACCTATTCACTGTATGACTTTGTTAGGCAAGTTAACTTCTTTATGCCTCAGTTTCTTCAGTTGAAAACAATGCAGCTAATAATAGAACCGACTTGTGGTTAGGATTCAATGAGATGATATGTGGACTGTGGATAGAATAGTGCTTGGTATGAAATAAGTGTTATCTAAGTAATTGCCAAGAGAAAGAGGAGGCTTTCTACTCCCATAGAGAGTTACAGTGTCAGAAACCCACAGGGGCAATGTCCCCCTGACCTATAGGGTCACTTTGAGTTGGAAAAGGCTGGACGGTGGCAGTGAATTTGGAGTCCTGGAAGTCTTGGCTGAAGGGGTTAATGGAGGCTTAAGTGCACCTGACCCAAAGCGTGGTATTTTCAGTGGCTTCATGTCCGCTTGCAGGCTGGACAATAAGGAAGGAAGGAGGAAGGCTTGCTGTGATTGAATTATGGTGTTGGTGACGGATATAGAAAGAAACATGGCCCTGCCCAGAGAACAAACAGGTCTCTCTTAGAAGGAGGGCAGCCAGGATGCTCCGTGGAAGCAAGGATGGCGAGACTTTGTCTCACGTACCTTGACTGTGTTGTCAGGAAAGACCAGTCCCTGGAAAAGGCTATCTTGCCTGGTAAAGTAGAGGGTCAGCAAAAAGACGAAGCCCATCCAGGAGGTGGATGGGCACAGTGACGATCGCAATGGGCTCACGTGGGGCAACAGTTGTGGGGATGGCACAGGACCGGGCAGGGGTTTGTTCTCCTGTGTGTAGGGTTGTTATGAGTCAGAACCAGCATCACCTAATGACCATGACAAGACGTCCTCTTTGCTGATGGGGATAATGACGATTGTCACTCTGTGTTAGTCCGGTTAACTTGAGAAACAAATCCAGTGACACTCATATATATATATATGGAAGAGCTTTATATCAAAGAACAATTGTATATTGAGAAAACATCCCAGCCCAGTCCAGATCAAGTCCCTAAGTCCAATATGAGCCCATATGTCCAATACTAGTTCATAAATTCCTCTTCAGACTCACGCAGCACATGTAATGATGCCCAGTGCAGGAAGATCACAGGCCGGTGGGTGGAAAGTCTTGTGGATCCAATGCCGGTGGAAGCATCTCAGCACTGGCTCCTCCAACTCCCTGAGTGTCTCCTCCACAGGAAGGTAAAGCAGAGAGACAGCGAGGCCTACCTTCAGGGAGAAGGAGAGGAAGTGCTCAGAAGGCCACGCCCACAAGGAGGTATCATCAGGCAGCGACCTGATTGACAGGCTAGACTCCATCCCTACATTCTATTTATCAAATTGACATGAAATTATGTAACGACCGCAGACCACCCCTTGCTAACTTTACACCCTTACACAACTCTTTAGCCATATATGATTTTTAAAACAAGGATAATAGTAGAATCACATTTGTGCCTAAAAAGATAAAACTAAAATGCATGCAACTCAAAATGTGCCAGCCTCATTTAAGCATAATACCAGGCCAGTAGGTTACAGTCAGGATTTGAACCCAGACAGGTGAGCTCTAGAGTCTATACTCTTAACCACTACACTACGATAGAGATGCCCCCCAACCCCATGCTCACCTCACCACACAGATGCTCTGGTTGCTACCACATTCATCTGATCACCTAGCAGGTAGGGTGGGGAGGAAGATGCTTAGAAAGGCTTTCTACTCCTGGAAACACCTATAGCAGTGGTTCTCAACCTTCCTCATGCTGCAATCCTTTCATACATGTGGTGGTGACCCCCAACCATAAAATTAGTTTCGTTGCTACTTCATCACTGTCATTT